AAACTTATTACGACCGTTTGATTTTCAAATTTATTTTGACCGTTATATCTCATAATGCCAACAAATTTCTCAATATTCCCGTGATTTCGCACATCTAGAACCCCAATTTAACCCACAACAGTCCATTAAAATCATCAGAAGTGAAACAAACTCATAAACATTGATATACACGCGACACAACAAAACCAAACCCATTGCGAAAATCAATTATTGAACGATACGGCTACAAAAAGTTAAAGAAACAAGCATAAAACCATATTGCCATAATAGTTTGCGGTGAGGAGAAAGAAATAACCATAAAGTCACATATTGGAAAATCTTCTCAGAACATTAAAAGAAACCACAAAAATGATATGGTGCAAAATAAGTCCCCACACTCGTATGAGTTGTGCGGTACACAACAACAACAGCTACAAAAAAATAAACGAGCTGAGTTAAGAAGCATGAAACAAAAGGAAGAAGACACAAAAAATATTTTTTCTTTTCTTTTATTTTCGTTTTTATTCCCATAAGTAAGTCAGTTGAATGTTTCTATCCATTTGATACTGCTGGAATTAATGTGAAGAGAATGAAGAGACAAAAGGAGGTAAAAGAATGCGATTTTTTATGGAGGACAAGGAGAATGAGGATTTAGTTTTTATGACATGGATATTAGTATGGCTTCTTGTGGTGGATTGGATGTTGTGTTGCTATAAGCTGTTATCATATTCAGCCAATTGTTCTAATATGGTGGGAAACGAACCTGCAGCTTTTAGAAGCATTTACTAGTGCATTTTGTCACTCATTAATCATAAACCTAAGAAGGAAGTGAAAGAAGCATCAATTTCGTCTCACATTAATAAACCCTCAACGCGTGAGCATCATAAGGAAAGGTTTACACAATTTTCAAATTAATAACCGTGATAATTATTTCAGTATTTTTTTTTTCTGTTCCTTCACAGAACATGATCTTGGTTAATTGAAAATTTATTGAGTGACGGGAAATAAAAGGGGAGATGAAAAGATCTTCAAATTAATTTCGGTTGATCGTAAAGTTTTATGAGGTTTTTTTTTTGTGCAACGAAATTGGATTGGTGATGTTTTGTAGCACGTTTTAAAATTAAAATTGTCAAAGAAAGTTCAAAAATTATGCGACAGTTAAACTTTAAAAATTTCAATCTTTTAGGGCGTTCGAAATTAACGTCATTTATCAAAAAAGAACAATGGATTTCCAGGAATTTCTACTTTTTTTCGCTGAACCCCCCCCCCCCCCTCCTCCCCCCTCCCCTTGACGTCATAAGTGAACGGCCACTTAATTCGACTTGAAATCTTACATTTGAGATAATTTATATTCTGAACAACTAATTAACATGCATCAACAAAAGGAATCATCGACATTTCAATCATTTACTCGACTAATCACAATATCTACATAATTACTAGTTAAATTCTAAAGATCTCAATCAAAATTGAATTGAATTGATTTTCATAAAGTCTTAATAATTAATAATTTACTTGATGTGAGTCATAAATTATTGAGTTGTGCATGTGGCTGCTGAATCATGAGTGCTTGCAATTGTATACAATTGATGACAATTAAAGTCGAAATGAAAATTGAATTCAACTGCTTTAAACCATTTTGAAGTTAACAAGAATGAGATTTTGAGGGTTGTTCATAAATAACGTTCATTGTTTTTGGTGTTATCGTTTGATACTAGAAAATATAGTTTGATTCTCTAAAGATCGGAACAGGATCTCAAAATTCCAATTTTTGATAAACGTCATTGGTGAACGACCCCGTAAAGCACTGAACCATAAACAATTTCTGCTCCCAATTAATGTTTTGAATTTTTGTTTGAAGTTGTTGACTTGAATTAAGTTTTGACTCAAAATTGAATCAAGAACTATCCACAAAATGCAACAAAATTCATTTCAATATAAAATAAATTAGTAGATGCTGCAATTCCATCTTTAAAATCATTAATTTAAGCACTTAAGAGAGCACAAAAAGGAAGAAATATTTTAAGTACTTCAAATGAAACAATCAGTGCTGATGATGATGCTTTTCAAGTACTTAAAATAACTCCAATAAGCTACACTTTTGCAATCTTCTTCCTCTCTCTTTCTGTACTTAAACAGCACATAACAAATAAACACAAAAGAATGAAAAAAAAAAATCTCATAAAATGCACTTGTTGTTCTCTGTTGATGAAATGGAATGAAGAATTTTTGTTGATCAGCATTGATTATGTTCAGAATACGACCCTGCCTGACCTTCTTGCATTTTTTGAATCAATGTGTATTCATAACAAGCGCTGAAAATGCAGATATATTTTGTGATATTGTTGTACTTCCTTTTTGAGAGTTTTGAAATGATTTTGAGGATTAAAAGAAGATTTTGGGACGACTTGACCATGAGTTTGTCTTCTTTGTGTTAAAATAGCTGCTTGCTCCTTAATTTTCTATTGATTTTACTGTAATTTTACAGTATTTACTACTTAATTTAAGAGAAATCAACATTAAAACTTTCCATGTGAGAGATCCATGAAAAAATCATAAGTTAAATCCATTGTCAATCCTTTGCAATTTTGAGAGTGAGCCATTTTTAATTTACACAAAATTTTCACCTTCTTTTTTCTTACTGCATCAAAATAAAAATTTAATATTCAAAAAACCAAAAAATATCACTTCAAGTAATTCATTTTAGCCAAGAACCTCTGTTGCAATTTTTATTCATTCCGTCCCGACTTATGACATTCTAAAGCCACTACTAAAGTATTCAATCATCATTATTTCATCAAAGAATATTCAGAAAAAAAAGAAATACTTTTTATGCGCACATTAAGTGCACGAAAAGGAATTAAAATTATGGGTTTCTTCCATTTCTGCATATTGTACAACATACCTATAATATGTGAAAAAGTTACATGGGGAGAAAGAAAGACGTTAAGTGGGAATGCATTGGAATGTGAGTAGAAAATGAACAGCATACTGTAATGAATCATTCAATTCTCTTTATCCATTTAACCGACCGCAGAAATTAACAAGTGCATGCAGCAATGTAATTTACACGTATTCTGCTGTTATAAAGGATTTAATTCTGCTTCTACGCTTTATTCAGTTTAGCACAATCAATGGTGTTATTACTGCTCTCAGATTTCAATCCGCTCTTCTCTGTTCCATCCGTTTAGTTTATATAGATGAACAATCGACACTGAGGAAATTTATTGAACTTAAAATCAGGTTTCTCTCTCAATTTTGATTGAGTAAAGAAGGTTTGGGAAAGAAATAAAAGAATTACTGAAGTACGTGAAATAATTTTAACTGTTTTGCAGAATTTTCTAGCTTACATCGAAGTCGGGTTGTCGAATTGACTTTTGGTATTGTGCTGGATGTCTCGAGGAATCAGTGGTGTAGCCAATGATAGAGGAGGTTAATTCTGGCATCTTATATTCAAAAATACTCAATAAATAGGCACAGATTCCGGTTTACTACTAGTCATAATAAGATATTGGTGATATTGTCCATAAGGAGGCTCAATGTCAAAATTTTTGCTAGATGCGCTTCCATTACTGAATTGTCTTCAACTTAACAACATTTCTTTACATTTTACTCGATAATTGAATCGATTTTAAAGTTGTTTAACTTGAAATTGCAAATCAATGAGATAGAAGTAACAAAGAAGAAGCAAGCAGTTTAAATGTTCCCATGACACGGCGAAGGAACTCGTTATTTATTGGTAAATTGGACGGTTGATTTGTTAGCATTATTGAGATGTCTTTATCTCGTTATAGGTTTTGATGAGCTAGAAGAATCTACAAAAGATTTTGTAACATCCGTTAAAATCATTCATTTTCTGACTAGAAAAGTTTTCCAGACATAGATATAAATCAACAACAAGATCATAAACTCGAAAATTAATCCAATTTTGAAATCCAAAACAGAAACCAAAAGAGAATATGTCAAGTCCCAAACGAAATCATTTTATTTGTTTTTGAAGTGCCACAAACGATTACAAAACCACCATAAATTTTTCCTTTCTCTCTGTTCAATATCAAGTATGATCCGCATCCCACTGCGAGGAGCTTTTTTCCTCAAGAGAGCCTCAACAAATAAAAAACTCACTTTTTATGAAACAAAATAAATAAAAGAAAATTGTTCAACCTTAAAAAAGCAACATCAACACATACTCTTGTGTCTTACACCAAAAATTTAATTCATGACAAACTTTATGCCTTTTTCAACACCTTTTTTCGCACATTTCTTTTTCTTGTGATTGTCTGTTAAAGGCATATACACACATTATACCTCCTTCCTTTCACAAATTTCATATACAAAGGAAAATGATGGGGTCGATTAAAAGTGACGTCAATTAAGAGTTAATATTCTAGACCCCTTTATACTCCCTAACCTACTCTTGTCCTCTAATGTTCTTGTACATCGATCAACACCAATTCACATCATTTCCAAACAACCCCCGCCAAACAGAAGCTTTCCGTCTTCTTTCTATGCTTTTCAAAATTGCGATTCTAAAATCTTTTTTTATGTGCTTTATTTCCTGTTGAAAAGGAAAAAGAAAAAATATGAAGAAAAAGTTTCATGTGTGTATCATTTTTTAAGAATTTATATTCGCTTCAATAAATTTGAAAAGCGAAACCGAAGAGAGGGAAAAAAATTTGTTCTGTATAGAAATACAGAAATTCTGTAGCTTCTGTAGAATGTCGTGAAATGAAATGGTATATTGTGTTGAAAGGAAAGAGAATTAGTTGAAAAGTTGGAGATGATATCGTGAATGTTTGAGTTTTGGCGCCTTTAGTTTTGGAATTCAGTTTAGCAAATCTGAAGTTTATGATTCAAAAAATTGTTTAAATTCTCAATTATTCATTTTTGCATCATTTCAAAACGAAATTTAGAAGTTATCAATTTCATACTAGCACAGGTTATCGCTCAAATTTGGATTACGTTATTTTACTCAAAATAAGTTTAAGTCTCATAAAATTTATGTTTGAATTGTCGAGATTATTTGAGAACAACACTCATTTTCAGTTTGGCGATTGAATTAAGGTTTTGTAAAAATCTTAGCCTTAAGATTAATTATTTTGAAGAATTCTTAGAAGTTGATAAACATGACAAGAATATTATTGTAAGTTTGAAAAAAAGTTTGGTCAATTAGATACTACAAGTTGCATTAAACATTGACACTAATCAAAATAATAAACTTTAAAATTTTCTTATCTTCTCCAGCCTTGTCATTTGTCTCGTAATTCAATCTTTCAGCACTTCAAATTCAGTCGAACTTGAATGTGCATATGAAAAAGTAAACTATGAGGAATCAATCTTTTACCGTTGTGAAAATAAGAATACTTTAAATTTGATATCAAGGAAGCGTACGTTAATCGATAAACTTACAGGAACACATGAAGATGATATGACTGATGACAATGTTGTTGATTTTTATTCTGATACTAAAAATATCCAGTACTTTCCTCAGGGATTAAGTAAAATATTCAACAATCTCAAGAGAATCATAATTAACTCAAATGGAATAAGAGATCTTAGTCAATCAGACTTAAAAGATTACCCAAAATTAGAAGTTCTTATATTGGACAATAATTTAATTGAAGTCTTACATGATGACTTATTTAAATACAATCCTGATCTGACTTGGATATCGATGGAAAGTAACTTCATTACCCAAATTTATCCAAGAGTTTTTGATGGTTTAAATAAATTGGACAATTTGGAACTTACATCTAACTACTGTATAAACATGAAAGCTAGCAATGACTCAACAGCTATTCAAAATATCATTAAGGTAGCAAAAGTAGAATGTTCCAATGCTGAATTCTTAGAAATCGAAGAAGAAATAAAGAAGCTTGAAGATAACGTTCATAACCTCAATGACAATAATGTCTTGGAATTTAATGTTAAATGTCAAAAATTGTATTTGAAATTGGATAATTTTGCGATTGCCGATTCTGTTTATTTAAACACTAGATTGGGAAAAGTTCAAACTGTTGTTGATGTTTTCATAAGTAAATTCTATAAAGACATGTTCCATAAAATTGCTGATCTTGAAAAGAAAATTGTCACTTAAATGAATCTTGTCAACGAAATTCTAAAAATATTTGAATAAAGTTTAATTGTTTTGAATCCAAGAACACTCCTTTTGAGATGCAACTTCACGTACCGAACACAGAGCTATTAGATTCAAAATCCAAAACGGATTCATCAGAACTCCTCGTTTCTAAAAACTCAGTTAAGAATTTTTTTTTTTTTACGGATGAGAAATATGAAAAAACGGAAAGTGATTTTGATTTACGAACATGCGACGAAAGAATTGTATATGTCTATGAATCTACAATGACGATGATGATGATGCCTTCGAGATGTGACAACATAAATTGCGAAATATAAACACAGCAATAAAAGAGAATGAATGAACTTAATAGAAATGCATATTTTCGCTTTCTTTTGATATGTTTCAATTGTGTATATTACAGTACTTATTAATATGAGTCACGCTATAATGAATGAATGCAAACATTTTGCCGTCTTTTTTCTCCTTCTGATGCCTTGTAATTGTAAATTCACTTTTGTTCGAATGCACAGAAACATATTTGTATCTCTCAATGTATTCCATTTATTATTCAGGAAAAGTATCGTTCCTTTCTTACTTCCGAAATTATTATTTCTTTCCTGTCTATCTCGATATAAATGCAGATAAATTTGCTGTCTTTTCATAACTAAACAGCTGAGTTGTATGAATTGGATTTTACTATTTGCAGTTGGGATATGAGAAAGTTTCTTGAAATGGAATTGGATAAAGTTTTAAGGAATCAAATTAATTTTTTTTTTTGGTTAAGTTGAATTTTTGAATTTAACTAATGGAATTTAAAGTGGAACCAGATTGTTTTTGTGACCTATAAACCTATTTATGGAATACCAAATATAATTTTCAGCAATAAGACTCACTGAGTTAGTTACATCCGCTCCATCGACACATCCAGATAACGTTATCAGCAATTTAAATCTGGTTTGTAATCCACAGTTGTCATTTTGAAAACTTCATTATTGTAGGTAGATTATACAGACTTCAACTCTACTAAATAAATTTCTTCCATACCTTAATCTACCTTCTTCTTATCCCATCTCTCCAATAAAATTTTAATCAATCCAAAATTTAAAGCAAAAAAATCTAAATGAAATCGGAAAGATCTGACGGAGTACAGAAATTTCTCGAGTAAAGCAAATAAGTTAAAAACAATCTAGACAAGAGGATCAACAAAAAAATCGATTTCTCCATCTCCATCTGTCTGTTTGGGTGCAAAATACTGGGAAATTAAGGCACCTTATCAGTATTTTGTACTTTCCACTAATATCGACAAGCTTTCTGCTTCTATTACTGATTGAAGCTTTAAGTGGAAATGAGCTTTACGATTTCTCCTCTTCTTCTTGTCCTAAGACAAGACATGATGTACATTAGGAATTGTGCGGGTGTTACGTAAAGCTAAAAGGGGGTTTGTTGGTTACTCTCGACTTTAGTCATATTATTATTATCTGAAGCAGAAGATAAGAATAAGGACCTCTAGTGTTCCGTAGCATCCAAACTCACCCCATAAGCTTTAAAGACAAGAATCCTCCCATACAGAAAACAGCAGGAACAGCAATGTGAATTGGAAATAAAAAAAGATAAGAGTTGTAACTTATTGCGAAAATTGCTTCATGTATATTTGATGTTGTACTCAATTTACAGAGAAAAGTAACATGGAAATGAATAAATATACTTTTTTTTGGAACAAGAAGTAGAGGAAGAGAAAAATCAGTTCGATAAAAATCATCCACTTTACTTACTGCTTGCTCCTGCTTTTTCACTTCACTCAATATAGATTTTCTTTATATGTAACTGAAGAAAATGAAAACAAATTGATTTACAAAGTGCCTGCCTTGCTATACATTGCTTCGTACCTTCGTAGGATTTTTTACAAGTTTAGCCTGATTTTTGGAGGATTAAAGTGGATGATTTGAAAGCAGTTTTACTGATTGGAAGAGTTTTAAAAGAGAATTTTTAGTTTTTATAGGTTGTGTGTCAATTTATTTGCCTAAATCGACTTTATTTTGGACTATTGTTCATTAGCATTGTTTGTTCCACTTTTTTCTAGTCAAAATTACATATAATTGTGAAAAAAAACATCGTTTTAAAAGTAATATTGCGAAAACAAACTTAAATATGGAGGAAAAAATCATGACAAATTTGTGACTTCGCTAAAAATGTGTTGTTGCTAAAATTATTTAATTTAGATGTCGAAAATCCGTTGAAAAATAAAATCAAGCGAAATTCTCTTAAAAACAATATAAAAGCGCCACATCCCCTATTATTTCATCCACATCTTTTTATGCAGTATTAAAAAATTCCAATAGAATTTTTCATCATCATCTTCTTCCTATTCTTCTTCAGATTCTCGCTTACTTACATTTTCCATGCTCTTAGAAAATAATTTGATTTGATTTGTTTGTAATGTGTTTGCATAACGTTAGGAGCATTATGTAGATTGTAATCTGATTTGTCGTATAGAAAGTGTAGCGGCATTAACAGCAAGCAAGGAGAAAAAGAAAAGAAACAATTTTTTTTGTGTTGCTGAAAATAAAATTCAAAATTCATTTATGTTTAAAATGTAAAGCTTACCATCCATTTACAGTCTATTTATTTACTTAGAGTAATTTTTATTTTCTTCACCATTGCCGAAAGCAACGAAAACCGCGTCATTTGTAAACAGATTTTTGCTTTCACATCAGAAAAATAAACATCCGAAAATAAGAAAGGAGATTGGAGATAGCGAAGAATCGCCAAATGTCGCAACAAAATGCTAAGTTGCTTTTCGTTTTTGTTGTAAGGAAGAAGGAGGGGCCTTTGGGATGAATTTATCAGAATTTATTTCAAAAATTTTAGATTTTAAAGCTTTTAAAATTTAAATTGTTCAAACCTGTTAAGCAATTGTTTCAAAAAATCTAACAAAATTATTCGAAGGAACCAAAACGAATCTTCATCGCTTGAATTGTAATGAACAGGAAAACAAATTTCTTTTTCATAAAAAGTAATTATTCCTGCAAAGGTGCTTAAAAATTTCCACTTCATAAGAATGTTTTTCACCTTCTTTATGTATTTATTTTTGTGTCTGCACATCTTTTCTTGTCATTTGATGTTAAGAAGTTTATGAAAGGAAGAGAACAAAAGTGCTCGTGGATGCAAAAATAGGAAATGATATATTTCTGTTCTTGTAAAAGTTATTTTGAATTTCCTCATTTATTTTTTTGCATTTAATAAACAAAATATTCAAATGTTCTTTTTTTGAAATAAACACAGATCATCAGCTTTGCAATGAACCTTTAATCAAGCTAATAAAATGTATTATATTTTATTTTGTCACATTCTATAATTTACGACGCAAGATAAATTTTAATGAAGGGAAAAACCACTTTTATATTTTGAATATAATAATATAGTATAGAATCCGATGAATTCAATCAGTCTTGAATATTTAATTCACTGAAAAAGTACTAAGCTTACGAAAACATGAGAATTTTTTATATCATTTGCATACTGTTTGCAATTGTTATGTGTGATAATCTTTACATGATTGGCTCATTCAGTTGTCCAACTGGATATAAAAAGGATAGAAAAGGAAAATGTCAACCAACATATGAATCATTAACCACCATTAATAAAGACGATTGAATTTGAAAAACTAAAACTGTTCACGTACAAATGAAATAAATCAGATTAATTTGTTTAGTGACAAATCTACCAGTGGTTTTAATTCATTTTTGAAATTTTCAGTTCCCTTTCAAAGTTAAACCAAAAAATAATCGCCCAGAATTCTAATTCCACTATAATTAAAAGATTTTAATTCCGCCCGTCTTTATAGTTATACATAATGACGATAATAACAATATTTATAAACACGTTTGCGGAAATGAGACTCAATTAAGATGAGACTTTGTGCTGTTTTATGTAATAAATAAGATTGCGACTTAAGCATCCTTAATTCTCAACACAAGGAGGGATTCTCAACTCACATAATTTTCAAAAGATTAAGTAGAAAGGCATTTTAAAAGGGAAAATCTCATCATTCTCAATCTACCTTCCGACTTTCCACCTCATTCAGCATAGGCAAGTGCCACGGAAGTTCTCCTCTTAATTGAATTAAAATCTTTCTCTCAATGGTTTATTTTAATTTAATTTCTTTTCTCCTTTTTCTTCTTTTTTGTTTCTTTTTATTCTTGAGAATTTTACATAAAGGAAGTAAAAAGGCAATTGTGCCTTTGGTTTTTAAAAATTGAAAGCAATTATGTTTCTGTTTAATTTAAGGAAAGGTCTCCTTTTTTTGTGTCTTTTATCTCAATTGAAATGAAGTATTTTTGTGACAGCATTTTTAGATAAGCATTTGAAATTCAAATCGCGTTTTTGGGTAGTTCACAATAATTTCAAAATTAAGTTAAAACGTGAATTAATATTGAGCCATTACTATTTGATTTGCGGAAATTTAATATCTTAGGTATTTAAATTATTTTTATATGACGACAAGCTTGAAATTTGAATATCAAAACATCAATATGACATGTTCTTAAATTAAGATTTATTATGGGGTTTTCCGTTACCCAAATTTTTGTAATGGTTCGTTGATATATGACGTCCAAAAATAATGTGACCTTTCAAAAACAAAAAGTAGAATTACAAAATTTGATCATATTAAACTTCCTCACTATTCTCTCCCCATCAAATCTGTGACGTCATTATTTGATGGCCTCCAAATATCTTTATTGAATACACGTTTTAAGTTAATCAGTCACATGACGTCTACTTTTTAAGTGTAAGATATATTATATTTAGATTCTTTGACGTGTAGCCGGGTTTTGCTCACATTTTTTAAAATAAAAATGCAAATGAATGCAATATTTTTATTCTCATTCTAATCGGCAAAATTACCCATTTTTGTTAATTTTCTGGTTCCAAAACCATTCTTGTTGGGCCTTGAATTTGTCATATATAAATACTGGCCACTGCTAGATCAATTTCATTCTAAGTTTATATTTCTTCAAAGAAGTGATAACAGAAAAAATCAAAAGAAAATGAAATTATTTGTAAGTTCGACAAATTTAAAAAAGGCAAAAAAAAATCGCTGTAAAAGATTTTACTGGAAGACGTGTTGTCTCTGGTTAAGAAAACAACTTGAATCGGTTCATTTCAAACGTCTTTAAGTCCA